GTCAATATGATAAAAAAAATTTTTTTTAAATATTTTTATTTTAAAAAGGGCGTTTTTAAAAAAAGGCTACATTTATTTATTTCCCGGGGATCAATAAAGTATTTCTGATTTTGATTCTGATTCCGATTCTGATTCAGGGGACTTGTATTTCATAATGCCACATTTACTTCCTAGTTTTTTTGATTTTCATCTGGGCGAATGTACAGGGACATGGTTATCTCACAGAACAGCAAGACCGAACCAGCACAGCCTCAGAGACTGACAACGGCTCAGCCATTATGATGTAACAGTCCAATAAAACTAGTCCTTTTTAAAGTAAAAACCTATTTATTGAACTGTATTGAGTCATTTATATATTTCTATTTACATTTATATATATATGTTTATTGTCTCATTTCAGGCCTTTATGCCTTTATTTCAGGATTTATGTCATAGCCGTATTTCATAGGCATATTATTTTATTTATTTATGTATTTGTTTATTTATTTAAAGCTGCAGTAGGTATGCTTTGGGTCAGCGACTTGAAGATAGTTGATTATTGAGTCTCATTCCCAGTGTCCCAAAGTGTCTGTATTTGACGTCCTGGGAATGAGACTTGACAATGAACTATCTTTTTAGGTTCTGATTGGTTGTTTTCGTTCAGGCCTGGTGGATTCTTGAAAATACCATTAGGAGCACTAGGAGGAGCCAGAGGAACTACTGCAGCTTTAATGTTGACTTTAAAGGCATTTTATATAGAGAACCATGGATGTGTTGTGAAACTATATACTTAAAAAAATGTGTACAGTTATTTTCTGCATCTGGCTATGCTGTTGGTCTTTCTGTGGATGACAACCTCTCCGGAATGGACCTGTGTGCCTTCAAATTTTTGTGCACTGACAATTACAAATAGCATTTTTACATCCAATTTGCATCTCAAAATGCATCTGTGTGGACATGTCCTTACACTTTTGTATATCCGTATAACAATATGCTTAATATGCTGTCAACTAAATGACAGATTATCACAAATAGATTCATGTTTAACTCGAGCCAAGGCCGTGATGATTAATGGTATGATTAATTTAAAGCAGCATTGGATTACACAGTAGAGCTTAAATGCCCTCCTGCAGCGCAGCCTTTTGTTACTCCTTCACAGCCTCATTAGAAGAATGTTTTGTTGAAGCTATAAATTTCTCTGTCACAGAGAAAAAAAACATTAGGGATTTGAATCCAAATCCTGTATCTCACAGGGACCTCGGAGACCATCTGCTCCTGCTAAAGAGATCAGAGAGAGGTACAGAATAACTCATAACACATGATTACGTGATTAAATGTACAATATGTATTTTCTGCCAACAGGGGGTTTCTCATGTCAGAACAATAATAAAAGAGGAAGTTTGATGAGGTGGTGAAGTAGCATGGGATCATGAGAGTTGTTGTCTTCACCACCATTGATGTCATTGCAGTCAGCTTCTCATTCCTTCAGTGTTCAAAATGTGGTTTCAACCTGCCAGAAGCTGTCATACATTGACTTTTTACCCAGACAACCACAACGCTGATGCATGCACAAAGGGGATATGACGCCATTGACAGGCAACCAGTGAATCTCATTCAGGTACGCACCTGAGTTTAATAAATTGTTGGAAACATTTGGGATAATATAAGAACACAACTCCATTATATATAGAACATAGCTCTAGAGTTTATAGATATTTTAATGTAGAAAAATTTTACATATTATAGCTTTAAGATATCATGATACAAACTTCTGCCTCCACAGTCAATACGAAGAGAAAAATGCACATTCTCTATCTGCCAAGACTTATGATAAAACCATCCTGCAGCCATGACCGAGCTGCAGTGGATATCAAAACGAGCCATGCACCAGTTGCTGCAAGTGTGGCTGAGTCACTTTAGGCAGCTTGAGAGCAGCTCCTCCGTCACACACAAATAAGTGATTTACAGCGAGAGACTTGTATTTCTCACAAATACAGTTTACATTTCCTCCCTGGCCTTGAGAATTATTGTGAAACATATTAGCGGCTGGGGATTTGACTGGCTGAGCCCTGCATACCCAGAGCGGTGCTCAGAGAAACAGGACTTTCAGTAAATGTTTGGTCCTGACTGATGACTGCTGGTGAGTGGGTGGCCTATAGGGCCTCTCAGACCTTTGAGCCTTGTTAGTGTTCGTGGGCATCTGTGCTTATCTGAGTCAGTCTTTATGTGCGGTATACATTCTGCACAGCTGAAAAGATTTTTAATGTAAAAAATTAAAAGCTTCTTAACAGCCTCAACAGAGCAGAGCATCCCCTCTAATTCACTCATACATTCACATCCACCCACATTGGGACTTTTGTCTCTCTCATCTCTTTGGTGTCCTTTGCTGTAAAGCGCCCCAGACAGGCCAGCCAGGCTGGTAAACATGATTCAATCTGTGCAGTTTACTGACATCATCTCACAAAGTAAAACAACAAAAACTGTCGGCTCTTGCTGTTTGTGTCCTGTCAGGTAGAGCGTTAGTGTCTCTTCAGTGATCTTTTTCAAACGTGGGAGAGAGATTCCTATCAACCCAGAGAGAACAGAAGCTGTTGTGTGGCAGCGGTGAGTAAATTTTGAGTTTCAAGCTGAATTGAACCCTAACATAACAGGAATATTCTCACATCTACAGTACACTGCAAGTAGCTGATTTGACACTGATTTGGCTCCGTGGTTAGCACTGTCGTCTCACAGGTGGGTTTGAATCCCGACTGGGGTAGGGGCCTTTCTGTGTGCAATTTGCATGTTTTCTACGTGATTGCATGGGTTTCCTCTGAGTCCTTTGGTTTCCCCCACCATCAAAACATGCTAGGTACATTCACCAATCTGTGGCCTTGACCAATGCAAGGGGTTACTAGTGTTGGTCCCGGGGTGCCGCACAGTAGTCCGTACGAGGATCAATAAAGGATAACTTAATTTAAATCCTTTTATTGTGAAGCATCAGAGGTGTGAAGGACAGCTGGCATTAGTCTCCAAATCATCTGACAGGAGATGTCTGTTACAGTCTGGTGGGTTAAGCGCTTAAGAAGCTTTGTTTCCTCAGCAGAAAACTGTACAGTTTTCCAACTTGCCAAATCTGCCATTTAAATAACAATGTGCCTGTGCAGACCCAACTGGCTTTAGGAGATGACACTCTGATTAGCTTATTTCATGTAACCCTGAAAACACACATATGATTAATTATGAGAGTAAACCCACTTTGAGCCTTACTCTGTGCTTAGATTATGCGCCATTTAACTAGCAAAAGTGGAGTTGGAAACCTCCTAAATACACAATGCAGTTTAGACTGCCATTTTTGGAGTCAGGACTGCCAAGACGGCGACGTCCAGAGCCAACCACTGAGCAGCTCTTCACAAACGCGTGGGTGACCTCACAGAGACTACATTTTTAATGATAGTTTATGGTTTTAGATTGTTTAAATATAGCCCATAGTGTCATTCATCAACACATGCACTTGTATCATTGTCATCACGCATTAGAAAGGTAATTAGTAATGCTTCACTTTATAACCCCTTAACATACAGTTTTCCAAAAGTTGGAAAAGTCATTCTATATATTCTGTACTGTCTGGTTCAAAATGTAAACTTAACCGATATGACATTTAGTTACAGTTAAATGTTCAGACTCAAGATTATTTTGTATGACTGCATGTCTTGGTATTTTATACACATTTCCCCCAAAATTAAGAGCAACATATTTTGGGATCTCCACTAGAATTTGAATTAATGTTCTGTGGGTTTCAACCATTTCTGGCTGCATAGCTGGAGTTTGTAATGATTTGTCAGTGAGGTAGAAGACGTTTTTACATTGTATATATTATATATTGTTTCATTTAAAAAAACACAATCAGAATAGACAATAAGAATAATATCAAATGCAAAAAATATACACATCATTAAAATTGAAAAACAGCCAGAGAGAACACAGACTGGAGCTTTTCTGAAGCAGCTTCCCACAGTTTCCTTTTTGCATTCTGGCCTTGTATAACATCTTGTCTGACAGCGCCGAGGTATTTCTTCTGTCAGCACTTCTATGAATCCCTGACACCTCGTGCAGCTCTGAGGGAGCGCTGCCTATAAGCCTGGATGGTCTGTACAAAGAGTGCAGCAGCTCTATTAGTGGCTAGATGATAGGAACCCTGGCTAGTGTAAATACTGAAGATGAAAGATATTTTCTAGCTCTGTGTGTGTGCCTGTGTGCATGTATATACAGTACCTTAACCGTGTCTTTGTATGTGTGTGTGAAAGGGAGACAAACAACTACAGAGAATCTTTTTTGATTTGTCTTTAATTTATAATAATAACTTATTTTGTTGTGCCAGTACATGCATACAGAGAGGTTTTCACTTCTGCATCACCAGACAAGAATGTCAGTATTGGTCAATTCTGCATAACCCTGGGTTTTGTTCTGCACCTTAATTATGTACAAATTCTCATTTCTGACAATATCATGTTGATGGCTATGTTTTTCAGCAAGCTTTATTTTGAAAATCTAACCGGACATTACATATTTATTATTGCTAACTTGACTGCGCAATGAGAATGTATTGAAAATGTAACACTGCCATGCATAGGTGAGGCAAAACGTGACACATATCAGGTTTAAGAGAGCACGGGTCGAACATGCGCTCACATATTTCAATTTAATGGACAAATATTGTCACATCCCTTTGAGAGGGTCCCTTAACCAGCTTCACTTGGCTCTATTTCCTCTGTCTGTCTCCGACACACACACACGCACACACACAGAAAGTCAAGTGCCCCATGCTAATTTCCTCAGGCAGGTAGGAACAGATTGTTTGCTTCTTAGGAGCTGAAATATAATTAAAAGTCAATGAAGAGCAAAATTGCTATTTCGCAGTTTGCTGATATATGAACAGTGCTTCGCAAAAGGAAATAAAGAAATGGCCTGGTGAGAAGAAAGACCCCCTATGTGACGCTAATTTTAGTGTTGAAAATTGTATTTAAATGAAAAGCTCTCCAATGACTGTGTTAGAGAAGGTGAAATGGGAGATGTGTCAGCAGCAGTGTGGGAGGTACGCATACGCTCTTACAGTAGGTAAAGATATGGGAAGCTGGTTGCAGCTTTGTGATACAGACAATAGCTTTAGGGGCTTTTAAGTGCTGTACTGGGTTTTGTGTGTGTGTGTGTGTGTGTGTGTGTGTGTGCGAGAAAAAGAAGAGGTATTTTAGAGAGAGAGTGGATTAAGGAAGTAAATTGAAGAATTAGTGAAATAATGGTAGTGGAAAGAGGATGGAAGGGATGGAACAGTCTGCTGCTGTTGCTTCACAACACTGCACGAGAACCTGCAAAGCATCTACTTATACAGAGATGCAGTTACAGGACTGTTTCCATTTACTAAACAATATGATGAGGTGTCTCTTTTAATGTTTGCTAAAGGCAAAGGCAGGTGAGAACATACATTGTGTATCAAGAAGAAAAATAATCTGAAGCAGAAGTAATATATATTCTCAAATGTTGGCAGAAGAGCTTTGATCTGGCCCAGTAAATATCAACGACCCGAGCCAAGCCGTGCCCGAAAACTGTGTGAGCCTGAACTGAGCCCAGACCACAGAGTTTTGGGCCTGAGCCCGACCCGAACCTGAATTTCCGCTAAAGTAATGAATAAAACAATAATTGAAATAGTTTATTACAAGCTAAGATAAACTACACTGAGCGTATAATACAGTGCAAATTATTATCAAAGCTAATAAATAACCGATTCAAATCATTATTTTACAGTTGCATGCATTATTAATAAAATAAAAGTCTAATTCTGTTCAAGCCCGACCCGAGCCCGACCTACAGCAGTAGTTTTGTGCCCGAACCTGGCGAGAGTCTGATCAGGTTGGGGCAGAGAATCAAAGCTCTAATTGGCAGTGGTTTCTTATTTAATGAATTTGCAGAAAATCCCAGCCTGTATTTGAAAACAAAAAAAATCAAAAATCATATTGTAGTAAGAAGCCTTTGTGTTTTCTGATGTAGTCTTAGTCCTAATTAATTCCGACACTTTTGTTTAATTGCTGCTGAATGAATTCAGGATCATGTACATTTCCACCCCAGAATTTCTCGCCACTCAGTTTTATTATTTGTTCAACAAAACTATTTAAATATAAAACAAATGTTGTGTCCATGAATCTATGCACAACTATGCTGTCTACTGACAAAAAGATGAGACCCCTGACTATATTATTATATATACATATTATTATTTTTAGAATAATAATAATAATAATAATAATAATAATAATTATTATTATTATTATTATTATCATTATTATTATTATTATTATTAT